CCCCAAAACCCCAAAACCCCAAAACCCCATAGTCTCACAAAATAATTGAATAGTTTGAAGTTATTCAGTATTTAAGCACTATCTTCATCCTTAATTTCAGGAAGAGATTGCCCTGAATGTGATGATGAGTCACTAGATTCCTCAATATCTTCAAAGGCGCTTACATCATCACTTGGATTAAGGGCTGATCTGTTGTTAGCATTTCCTGCTAAATTCTCTTCTCCAACCTCAGATTGAATATTAGATTGAGCAACACTCTCTCTTTGAGTTTGATTTTTCCTACTACTTTGATCACCCCAAGTGAACGATTGTGCCATATCTGAAGCCATTTGTGTAACAGGTACTGCAGATTGAAGCTGATGACTTCCTCCCATTTCACTTTCAATTTGTTGAGGTCTGACACTCTCATCTTTAATATCATGAAGAACAGAAGTATTTTCTCTAGACCTTAACCGGTCTTGTTGATGTAATTGCTGTTGAGTCACTTGTAGTATATTCTGATCTTGCGATGACACTTCATTTGGCCTTCCTATGGGTCTCAAACCCGGAGGCGGACAATTCTGTCGAGTAAGAGCTTGTGGATTGGTTGAATCAAGTTCAGTTATTTCCTCTCCATGATTTATAGATTCTTCTTGCAGTTTATTAAAATACTTAACATCTCTCTTTTTCTTTTCATTCAATAAGAGCTCTGAAAGTTGCTTTTTATTAGCTTCAACCCACATTTTTGAATAATTAGATTCCATCTTTTGAACTTCATCGGAACGGTTCTTCTCAAATCCTATTAATTAAATACCAAAAGACTTACTTCCTGCAAACACGCTTGTACTTCTTCTGATCTGGTCGAGTAATTTCTTGATTTCATAATTCATTGGCTCTTGCTCTTCCATTTCTAAGAACTTAATCGTGGAGTCTAGGATATGGTTGTTGTGAACCCCATAATTTGTGACTCTGATCCTTTCCTCTACAACTTCTAAGATACTCTTCTTCACGCTTAGTGATAAAGGAAAGAATTTAAAGTGAGACAATTGGAGTATAGTGTGTAATCTACTATCAAAATGAGCAAGGTCACTTCTTTTCAGTCTATTTATGACACCCTCTTTGACTCAAGTAGCTACAAAGCTAAGATATACTTTCAAACGTGCTTCTATCTCAACTGTTGACATGTTTGTATACTCTGGAGATACATCTTTCATGTTTTCGTCAACTTTCAGTCCAGCTTTCAGTGAGGTATAGCCTGTTACTTTGACAACAGTCTTGTCAACTCTAAGCAAAATGATCTTGATCATAGCCAAAATGTGGTTCATGATGTCAGGGTGAATAATGAAGGTACTGTTCATCCATAAACTTCCAGCTAAAGAGGAAAGTCCGTATTTGAAAACTCTAATACAGTCTTTGAAGAAGTCGAAGAACTCAGTTAGTAAGCTATGACTTCTCATTATGCTATCATTGTTGAGCATGATATAGATACATTTCCTGATCCATGATACTTTATCAGTGAGTCTTCCGGAATTCAGCAGGATCCTTAAGCATTGCATAGCTTGGATCTTCATGACCGGCAATAAAGCATTAAAATCTTCAGCAGAGAGGCCATCAAGAATAAGTGAACTTTTGCTGGGATCCATAGCATTTTCTGATAAAATCCCCTCCAAATTGTTAAGCACGTCGTTTATATTTATCTTCAGGAACTTAAAATATGGGATGTTTTTCTTCTGGTTCAAAGTTGTCTTCAAAAGAGCAAACAGAAGGTCTACCATTCTCTGATATGCTGAGAAAGAGTAATTTGGTTCCTTTCCAAGGAAGTGATATCTCACAAATTCTCTATAAGACTCGACAGATTTTTGCTCAACATTTTTGCTCTCCTCTGGCTTAATGAATCTGTAGAACCCATTAATGCTGTCAAGGATTGTCTGGACTTGCATAGCATAGCTTTCTGCTCTTTTATCTTTGATCATAAACACCTTGCTAAGTACTGCAACTGTGGCTCTACAAAGATCATCATTGTGCAAGTTCCTGTCTGATCCTGAGGAAGGGGCTAACAAATTAATAAGACTCGTCACAAAATTACCCTCAACATCACTATTCTTTGAAGAGATAATAGTCTTAAAGCCTGATGGATAATCCATTAAAGAAGAAATACAATAAAGTGAAAGCTCAATTGATTTAGACCTTCTTTTGTAAATTTCGTCAGAGATATCTTCTTCTCAAAGTCGAGAGTGCCACACCTTTTGCTCTCTACAGAGGACTGTTAGAACTTTTATACTGTTTTGAGAATATTGGTTCAGAGTTTTCTTAGCATCAGCATTACCATGAACCATCTGATCCTTGCCTGAGTCCGAAATAGCTTTAATAACCTTTCAAACCCGCCTATAAGCCATCAAAGCTGACTGGAAGATCTTGTCTTCAAGAGGATAGTTCTTAACAACCTCTAAAATAGCTTGGAGGGTTTTTATAATCACTTCTTTAACAACACTTTCACTCCACTTCTCACAGAAAACACTGAGGATATCAAGGCAGACTCTTTTCACAGTATCATCTTCATTCTTCAACATCTTGGTTAATTCTTTAATCTCCTTTGGGGCTGGGTCAGAGAGATAGACGTGGCCTTGCCTGAACAACTTAATGAAGTTCAGTGATCTCACCAGCAAGCTCCTCTGATGCATCTGATCAGGCTCCTTATTGAACTCATTGATTTCCCTAAAAATACCTTGAATATGGACTGAAACACTCATTTCTGCTAATTTAGATAATTTTTACAAATTATAGGGGTTTTGGGGTTTTGGGGTTTTGGGG